TGGACACCATATACACAACATTGGACACCATATACACAACATTGGACACCATATACACAACACTGGACACAATATACACAACATTGCATACCCTATACACAACATTGGACACCATATACACAACATTGGATACCCTATACACAACAATGGACACCTGTATACAACATTGGACACCCTATACACAACATTGGACACATATACACAATATTGGACGCCCTATACACAACATTGGACACCCTTTACAAAACATTGGATACCCTATACACAATATTGGACACCATATACACAACATTGAACACCCTATACACAACGAACGTCAGACCTGTCATAGTGTGTTCAGCACCGGCCTGCAAACCATGCTGGCCTACAAGGAGAAGCTAAAAAAGAGAAGTAAACCTGATGATCTTCAAGGAAAGACCAACCAGAGGAGACATAATATCAACGTACAAGATACTCAGATGACCTGGCAGGGCAGAGCAGAAATTATTTTTTTAGTAGGCAAACAAGGACAGGTAGCAAGGTGGGGGCTGGGTGGGAATAAGTGTAAAAATATTGTCTTCCAGGCATATGTATGAAGGCAGGATGTCATTATCCGGAGGGATAGTCGGATACAAGGGCCAGGAGGGATGAGGGTTTATGGGGATATATGTTAGAGGGTATATTGTAGGGATATTCATTGAGGTAAAAATAATGTTGGTGGGAAGCATCATAGTGGACACACCAAGATAATTGACGATCATCTTCTTCCTTGGATCTAGAGCCCTTCACCAGCATCAAGGCTCAGCAGTTGAAGGGAAGTATAAACAATGTGGAGTCTCTTACACTTCCCTCACTCAGTGACGGACAAGTTTTGTTTCTTTTTTTTTTCTTTTTTCAAATTCAAGACATGTCAACTATACCAAGTAAACTAAGAATAACAATTATACCAAAGTATACCAATAACAGAAGACTCGATCATCACTAAAAAGACAAAACGCAGTTTCATCAGGCCCATAGGAGCCTCTTGTGTTTTGATCCCTATTAAAACACAACACACACACACACAGCCACGTAATGCAGGTGTGACGAATATATATAAGCTGACTGTCTGTTTCCCACAGGACGATGCTTATGAAGACATCCGTTCAGACTACACACGCAACCAGGCAGCTTGTGACTACAACGCTGCCTATACTGGAGCCTTGGCTGCCATGGTTGAGATCAGCTAGACGACTGCCGTACTGACTGCTGGGTCAGTTAGACCAATTAGACCAGACTGATGACTATCCTATCGAGTGTTGTGTAATAATAAGGCTTGCCGGTTAGAGCAGTTAGGCGACCATTTGACTGCTGTGTTATAACGATACTTGCCAGTTAGAACAAAGTTGGCAGTTAGGTTACCGTAAAAAAAAAAATCTGCTGACCTAATTTTTCTCGATTATAAAAAACTTTCTCAATTTATTACCGAAAATAAATAAAAAAAAATATATATTGTTATTTACCTAATTGTTTTGATTTTTGGGATATTCAATAATTAATTTAATACAATTAAATTTATTAAAAAAACATATTTATCAAAAAGACCGTTAACTGGGTAGTGTCAACTATCAACCTCTTAAAACAGTGTCTCATATTCATAAATATATACGAAAATACTCCCAGCTACAAGCAGCCTACTGTAATCAAAATTCTGTATTATTATTATGCATGGGAAGGGTTAAACCCGTAGTGGTCATACAAGGCATGGGAAATGGAAGAGAACCAAGTTTACCTGGAGAGGTTTTCGGGGGTCAACGCCCCCAAGGCCAGGTCTGAGACCGGGCAAGGCAGAGGAGGCTAGGTAAAACATTCTTAAGTGTTCCCATCTCCTGCAGGAGAGGAAAGATGAGATACGAAGAAGAGTTAAGGCTAATACAGAGTGAAGTTCTATACGGAATAATGAATATTTTTCTTGGCACAGTGAGTGGAAGGATAATGGCACTCTAAAGGAAGTGCCAAGTGTTACAACCAATGGAAGCCTCGTATAACTTTACAAGGACCTAATTGGAAAAAAGTCACTGACTTTTTTTGAGTTATCCCAGGTAATTTACACGTATGTTACTATGTATATTAATTAGTGTAACTATTTATGTGTGCCTGTACCTAAATAAACTTACCTACTTACCGCTGGTAAACGGTCAAAGCTAAGCTTACGCTATGACCCATACGGGTCATAGTACAATATGAACAGAGGCAGCAGGTATAAGGAAGCATGCCGTAGTCTAAATACTAAGGAAACACTACGAGCCTAGTACTCTCGGGGTATGCATAGTGACGAGCATATCACTAAAAGCGAATAAGAACAGAATAGCATCGGCAGCAGATGCGCGTCTACCAGACTCGAAAAAACACAGCTTACAGGAAAATCAACACAGAAACACTGGGGGTCCTGTAAACAACACGACATACCTGTCAAAGTTTGTTCAGCAACGCCTGAATAATACACTTCATTTAGTAAATATGATAAAAGACAATCCAAAGATTTGCAACATGTCTGGTTTCTAAGTTCAGATGGATGACCTACAAGGATAGGCTAAGAGACGTGAACCTGATGATCCTAAAACCAGGGAAGACATGATATGAAAGCATTGAGAAGAGCAGATTTTTTGAAAGAGTAGACAAAGACAGGCTGAAAGTGAGGATATGAAAAATGAATATATATATATATATATATATATATATATATATATATATATATATATATATCCATGGGGAAGTGGAAAAGAAGTCTTCCTCCATAAGCCTTTCGTGTCGTCAGAGGCGACTAAATGCTGGGAGCAAGTGGCTAGTAACCCCTTCTAATGTGTATATTACTAAAGATAAAAAGAGAACTTTTGTTTGTTTTTCTCTTTTGGGCCACCCTGCTACGGTGGGATATGGCCGGTTGTTGAAAGAAGAATATTTATATACAAAGGCTGGGTGCGATGTTTTTTAAGGGATGATCCGATGCAAGCACAATAATATTTCCTGAGGCGAAGTGGGTTTTGAAGGGGTGTAGGATTAGGGGATATGTATATGACTAGGGAATACTTATAAGGATATTTACCAAGATGACTTGAAATGAAGGGCTGGAGGGAATAATATTAGCGACGTTAAATGGAGAAGCGGGTGGAGTTTGCACAGGCCAAGATAATAATCGACAATATTCTTTGATCAACAGCCCTTCACCGGCATCAAGACACAATAGGGAAGTATAAATAATGTGGAGTGTCACACTCTCCCCCGTTCAACGAGAGACAAGTGATTTTTTTTTATCTTTCAAAATAAGGGCATAACATGTATACCAAGAACTGCATGCATACTAAGAATACCAAGGATACCGTAGGATACCACTTAAAAAGACAAAATGCAGTTTCATCCGGGTCATAGGTGCCTCCCTATGTTTTGATCACTATCAAAATACAGAAGACAGGTAAAACACACACACACACACACACACAAAGTGGGAGCCTGTGACGAGTGGGGCTCCACAAGGGTCAGTCCTAGGACCTGTGCTGTTTCTGGCATTTGTGAACGACATGACGGAAGGAATAGACTCCGAAGTGTCCCTGTTTGCAGATGATATGAAGTTGATGAGAAGAATTCAATCGGACAAGGACCAGGCAGAACTGCAAAGGGATCTGGACAGGCTGCAAGCCTGGTCCAGCAATTGGCTCCTGGAGTTCAACCCCAACAAGTGCAAAGTCATGAAGATTGGGGAAGGGCAAAGAAGACCGCAGACGGAGTACAGTCTAGGGGGCCAGAGACTACAAACCTCACTCAAGGAAAAAGATCTTGGGATGAGTATAACACCAGCACATCTCCTGAGGCACACATCAACCAAATAACTGCTGCAGCATATGGGCGCCTAGCAAACCTAAGAACAGCATTCCGACATCTTAATAAGGAATCATTCAGGACCCTGTACACTGTGTACGTTAGGCCCATATTGGAGTATACGGCACCAGTTTGGAATCCATACCTAGCCAAGAACGTAAAGAATCTAGAAAAAGTGCAAAGGTTTGCAACAAGACTAGTCCCAAAGCTAAGGGGTATGTCCTACGAAGGAAAGGTTAAAGGAAATCGACCTGACGACACTGGAAGACAGGAGAGATAGGGGGGACATGATAAAGACATATGAAATACTAAGAGGAATTGACAAGGTGGACAGAGACAGAATTTTCCAGAGATGGGACACATCAACAAGGGGACACAGTTGGAAGTTGAAGACACATGAATCACAGGGATGTTAGGAAGTATTTCTTCAGTCACAGAGTAGTCAGAAGTTGAACAGTTTGGGAAGCGATGTAGTGGAGGCAGGATCCATTCATAGCTTTAAGCAGAGGTATGATAAAGCTCATGGTTCAGGAAGTGACTTAGTAGCGACCAGTGAAAAGGCGGGACCAGGAGCTATGAATCTACCCCTGCAACCACAACTAGGTTAGGTGAGTACACACACACACACACACATATACAGCCACTTAACACTTACTCCCTAGTTAGTGCAGGTGTGACAAATATAAATTGATTGTTTTCCCCAGGACGGTGATTATGAAGACATCCGGTCGGACTACCAGCGCAACGAGGTAGCCTGCGACTACAACGCTGCCTATACTGGGGCCTTGGCTGCCATGGTTGATATCAGCTAGAATCCTGACTACTGTGTGATGACCATGATTGACAGCCCAGTTAGATGTCTAGCCTACTGATTGCTGAGTGTTATTTGTGTATTGTGTACTGATTGATGGGTCATGACTAGGCCTGCCAGTTAGATCTTGTGAAAAAAAATTACTGACCTAGTTTCCCTTTATTTTGAAGCTTTTCCAAATACATTATTAAAATTAACCTTTTAAAAACTTTCAGTTTGTAAATACGTAATTATTCAGATTTATGGTTTACAAAACAATTATTTTGTATTAGTTTTTATTAGATATATGAATCATTCATTGACAAAAAACATTAGTTGACTAATAACCTTTATAGTCCCCTAAGCGTTATTATTAGTTAAGCCACGTAGTTAAGTATAATTAAATCATAACTGGAATACTAACAATATATTATATATATATATTATATATATATATATATATATATAATTATATATATATATATATATATATATATATATATATATATATCACCAATAAGGATTTATATGAAAACATTTTCTGTTAGGTTAGGTTCGTCAGGAAACAGGACAAGTATTTCCTGACGCGGGTCTTTGTCAGAAGATGACCCGCCGCTGGGATTTTTTTGTCATCTGACCGAGGCCTTCTGCTGGCTTACTGGTCCACCCCTTTAAAAATTAATGGTCAACGTTATAACCATTTGTTTGTACATTTTCTGCTACTAGAGACTCAATGACCATAGGTTACCTGCAAGTTAGTGATGTACTTTGTTAATGCAGGAGGTGGAGTAGAGAAAGTAAGACTTAAATGGTTTATTGTAAAGCCACAAACTGTTTATTGCCTGTCAACGTCATAAGTAGGTAAAGTGGGTTTTTCAGTCCTAAGGACTGAAAAAGCAATTTCTGGAGAAACTTTTCCTTTAATAGTTAGATATATTGGCGGGCATAGGTAGGTAGTAGATTCGCCGGTATAATTGCCCGGTCCGGGCCTTTTCCAAGAGGTGACCCGGCCTTGGCTCCCTGTCGAGGGAGTGTCAGAGCAATCTCTGCCATGGTAGGAGGTACGAGTACCTCCTCGTCTTCTGGGTCCAACTGTCCCTAGGCCTAGCTCCATTCCCCGCCCCCACGGGGCTCGGAGGGAGAAGCTAGGCACCTTGGGTTGCCACAAACCTCGCCCACACTGGGCTCGAAGGGTGTGGCAGCTGCATAGCAGCAGACGATGTCAGGAGGCTCAAAGGCAGCCAGCACTACAGGATCCACTAGGAGCCACACCCCAGCTTTGGGCATTAAGCCCGAGCGCTTGGGAAGCTCAAGAATGCCACTTGCTGTGTGTGTTGCTGCTGCTACTTCACCTGTCCGTTGCACTCCTCTATTGGAGGGCCATGCATAATTCTCTGGCGGGCCGGATATGGTTCATGGACCGTATTTGGCTCACCCCTGGCTTAAAGTCTGTCGGCTATTCCCAAAAAAGGGTCATTAAGGCTGTATCTCACCTGTTCACCATCAATAAAGAGTACTTTAATCCCTAAATTGTTTCTGTTATATTACACTGAGAGAGATAACAGCTTTCAGTATGGAAACCTCCGAAGTCTCTCAGCCAGGCTGACATATTTTTATTACCTCGTTTGAAAACCATCCAGTGTGATAATATATGAAAGGAAAATAGTCTCGCCTGAGTGTGTATCAGGACAACCATCCAGCGTGATAACGTATAAGAGGAAAACAATCTCGCCTGAGTGTATATCAGGAAACTCATCCTGGGTGATAACGTATGAGAGGAAAACAATCACGCCTGAGTGTATATCAGGAAACTCATCCTGGGTGATAACGTATGAGAGGAAAACAATCACGCCTGAGTGTATATCAGGAAACTCATCCTGGGTGATAACGTTATAAGAAGAAAACAAAACACGCCTGAGTGTATTTTCAGGAAACTCATCCTGGGTGATAACGTATGTGAGGAAAACAATCACGCCTGAGTGTATATCAGGAAACTCATCCTGGGTGATAACGTATGAGAGGAAAACAATCACGCCTGAGTGTATATCAGGAAACTCATCCTGGGTGATGGAAGTGTTAGATAAATATTTAAAAATATACAGTATTGACAGAGTGGTTTTTTCCCTCCCCTCACCGAGTGAATCTAAAAATTTCATTTGACCTTTCTAAATAATTTCAAAACTTTTATTGCTATCTCTTCTTTTTTTATATATATGTTGGAGATTTTCCAGAAAAAACTACAGAATAAAGGTGATTATAGCAGATTATTTTTTTTCATCAGAATAAATGGTAACGTTAAAAAAATAAATTATTATTCTGTTAAGTTTTAAAAGAAAATAGATTTTGGTCTTTAAGGCCACAATACACCTGTACAATAAAGTTAAAATAGCTTTAATGCGTAAAATCAGGGGCGGATCTACTGTGTAACTAGTGAAGCTTAAGCTTCAGGGGCCCTTAAACCCGGAGGGGCCCCAGAAGCCACTTTAGTCCACATTGCTTAAAAATTTTGGGACTACTGTATATGAAGAGGCTTTTAAAAAAATAATTTTCACAATATAGTGTAATTCGAGACAAAATAATAGTTAAAATACAAAAGTTAAATGTTATTAAAGTATAATGAAGACCTAGCCGTTGCTGGGTGCTTCAGCGACCCAAAGTGAGGGCGCGCGCACACACACACACACACACACACACACACACACACACCCAACCACAACACACACACACACACACACATCTTCTTGGACTACAATAAGGCCTTTGACACAATTCCGCACAAGAGACTAGTGCAGAAGCTAGAGGATCAGGCGCATGTAACAGGAAGGGCACTGCAATGGATCAGAGAATACCTAACAGAGAGGCAACAACGAGTCATGGTATGTGATGAGGTATCACAGTGGGCACCGGTGACGAGCGGGGTCCCACAGGGGTCGGTCCTAGGACCAGTGCTATTTTTGGTATATGTGAACGACATTATGGAAGGGTTAGACTCAGAAGTGTCCCTGTTCGCAGATGATGTGAAGTTAATGAGGAGAAATAAATCAGATGAGGATCAGGCAGGACTTCAAAGAGACCTGGACAGGCTGGACACCTGGTCCAGCAACTGGCTTCTCGAATTTAACCCTGCCAAATGCAAAGTCATGAAGATAGGGGAAGGGCACAGAAGACCGCAGACGGAGTATAGGCTAGGTGGCCAAAGACTGCAAACCTCGCTCAAGGAGAAAGATCTTGGGGTGAGTATAACACCACCAAGCATGTCTCCGGAAGCACACATCAGCCAGATAACTGCTGCAGCATATGGGCGCCTGGCAAACCTGAGAACAGCGTTCCGATACCTTAGTAAGGAACCGTTCAAGACACTGTACACCGTGTACGTCAGGTCCATACTGGAGTATGCAGCACCTGTTTGGAACCCGCACTTGATAAAGCACGTCAAGAAATTAGAGAAAGTGCAAAGGTTTGCGACAAGGTTAGTTCCAGAGCTAAGGGGAATGTCCTATCAAGAAAGGTTAAGGGAAATCGGCCTGACGACACTGGAGGACAGGAGGGTCAGGGGAGACATGATAACGACATATAAAATACTGCGCGGAATAGACAAGGTGGACAAAGACGGGATGTTCCAGAGATGGGACACAGAAACAAGAGGTCACAATTGGAAGTTGAAGAGTCAGATGAGTCAAAGGGATGTTAGGAAGTATTTCTTCAGTCATAGAGTAGTCAGGCCGTGGAATAGCCTAGAAAGTGACGTAGTGGAGGCGGGAACCATACATAGTTTTAAGGCGAGGTATGATAGAGCTCATGGGGCAGGGAGAGAGAGGACCTAGTAGCACTCGGTGAAGAGGTGGGACCAGGAGCTCAGTCTCGACCCCTGCAACCACAGTTAGGTGAGTACAACTAAGTGAGTACACACACACACACGCACACCAACACATACACATACACATACACACACACACACACACACACACACAACACACACACACACACACACACACACACACACACACACACACACACACACACACACACACACACACACACACACACACACACACACACACACACACACACACACAGGAGCTCGGACTTGACCCCCGCAACCTCAACTAGGTGAGTACACACACACACAGAAACCAAGCTTACAGGTATGATAACAGATGCCATCTTTCCAACGGGATACCAAATCCTGAGGAAAGACAGAGGGAATAGGGGGGGTGGAGGAGTGGCATTGCTGATCAAAAATCGCTGGAATTTTGATGAGCTGGAGAGAGGAGACAGCGGAGAAGAAAGTGATTACATAGTGGGAACGCTTCACTCTGAAGGTCCCAAGGTGGTAATAGCAGTGATGTATAACCCACCACAGAACAGCAGGAGGCCAAGGCAAGAGTACGACGAGAGCAATAGAGCGATGGTTGACACACTGGCTAGATTGGCCAGAAGAGCTCATGCATGCAGGGCAAAGCTCCTGATCATGGGTGACTTTAACCACAAGGAGATCGATTGGGAGAACTTGGACCCACATGGGGGCCAAGATACATGGAGGGCTAAGATGATGGAGGTGGTACTGGAAAACTTCATGTGCCAACACGTAAGGGACACTACAAGAGAGAGAGGAGAGGATGAACCAGCAAGGCTGGACTTAGTATTCACCTTGAGTAGTGCAGATATCGAGGACATCACATATGAAAGACCCCTTGGGGCCAGTGACCATGTGGTTTTAAGCTTCGAATACACAGTAGAGCTACAAGTGGAGGGAGAAGCAGGAAGGCCAGGACGAATGAAGCCAAACTACAAGAAAGGGGACTACACAGGAATGAGGAACTTCCTGAACGGGGTTCAGTGGGACAGAGAACTGGCAGGGAAGCCAGTTAATGAGATGATGGAATATGTAGCAACAAAATGCAAGGAGGCTGAGGAGAGGTTTGTACCCAAGGGTAACAGGAATAATGAAAAAGCCAGGATGAGCCCATGGTTTACCCAAAGGTGCAGGGAGGCAAAAACCAAGTGTGCTAGGGAATGGAAGAAATATAGAAGGCAAAGGACCCAGGAGAATAAGGAGAGCAGTCGTAGAGCCAGAAACGAATATGCACAGATAAGAAGGGAGGCCCAAAGACATATGAAAACGACATAGCAGCAAAAGCCAAATCTGACCCGAAAACTGTTGTACAGCCACATCAGGAGGAAAACAACAGTCAAGGACCAGGTAATCAGGCTAAGGAAGGAAGGAGGAGAGACAACAAAGAAAATGACCGTGAAGTATGTGAGGAACTCAACAAGAGATTCAAAGAAGTGTTCACAGAGGAGACAGAAGGGGCTCCAGAAAGACGGAGAGGTGGGGCACACACCACATGTGCTGGACACAGTTGCACACAAACC